ATCAAGGTGAAATTTGGCATGGTAATAGAAGACTTCAAGATCAAGCTAAAAATTGATTTTGAATTGAAATTAATGGTTGGAAAAGAAAAAATTGCTACTAAAATATCTGCATCAACTTTCAAGTTGGCAGCCAAATGACATTAGTGCAGTTTTTGGGCTTTTTCTTACAATCTATAAATTGAATTGGGCTGATTTTTTTGAGCATGTAGAAGACTTAGAGTACCATTTATATGAAAAATTTTGTACCAAGTGGAAAATCAAATTAAAAGTTACAACTTATCAAAATTCACTAACTAAGATTAGGACTTATAGAAAGAAATTAAAATTATCTAATTATAAAAGTATTAAGACAATTAGAATTTGTAAATGGTTGAGGTTAATAAAAAGAATATTTTTGAGTATTTATATTGGCTTTAAGCACTTTTGAATTGAAATTTGAATTACTTTGTATTTAGATGGTTGAAATCTATTAAGATTCTTGAATATTTGTAAAACATAACTTCACCTTCCAAAGCCAAGTGCCTAGTGCATTTCCAAATAAGTAAATATGTATTACAACAATGCCAAGAAGTTATATAATTAAAAGAGGTAAGTAGATCAAGTTCATAATTATGTATAAAAAGTTTTGTTTCTATAGATATTAGAGAAGTAAAGATGTTCAACAAAGTAGATCAAAGTTTTGAAGATTTTTACAATAAGTAAAGTTCTTTCTAAGGTTGCATCTTTTCCAATATTCTAATGGATTTACTCAAATTAGATTCATAGATGCACTTCTATTCAAGAATATTATTTCTTAGTTTAAACCTTTAATGGAAAATGATTCATGACTTTTTATGATTTGAGTTCATTCTTAAAAGTTTTTAGGGTCTTACTTGAAAAAAATAATCAAGAAAAGATAATACAAATCAAACTCCTATCTTTATGATAAAGATAAAAATCACTTGCTATATATATTTTAAAATCTTAAAATCTTATTTATAATATAAATTAGAATGATGAAGTCCTTATTAATCAATTTTGATATGGATTGAAAGAAATATTAAAGATTTATTTTTAATAATACTAAGAATAAATTCATTAAAGCAATTTATTGTTCAAGTCATTGCATGTAATAATCAACTCTTTGAAAGATACCAAAAACAGAAGTTTGGTTAGAGAGATAGAAGTCAAGTCATGGCAATAACTTCTAAGTTAATAAAAGCTTATTTATCAAGGCTAGAACCTATATAAATTTACATGGTATGTTTTAAACTTCTTACTGAGCAAGAAAAGATTCAACATTATCAAGAAGGATTAAGCTTATATTATAAAGAACCTAAGCTTCTAGTCCAAATATCTTCCATTTGAACCATTGATTTTCTCTCAAAATTCTCTTAAAATATTAAAAATTAAGTCTAGGCTCTATACAAAAAAAATTCTTTTCAATCCAATCAATAGATTGATAAAGATCTTAAAAATATTCACTTACATTCAAACTCCAATTTTAGAGACCTCAAGCCACAAAAACTTTCACACTTTAATTTAATTATTTTATTGACCTTAAATTCACATTAATTATTAAATACAACTATATCCATCAATCTACGAAATTATTCTCATAGATCTACTATAAAACTTCTAAAATTATCCAAATCATCAATCCTATTTTATTTCACAAAAATCCAAGTCATTTGAAACAATCTTAATTTTGTAAAGCTCTTATAAAGCCATTACAAATCCAAATCATCCAAAACCAATGTTTATAGAAATCTTATTAATTTTTCTTCCAAATCTTACTCTCTAATCTTTCAAAGAACCTTAGAGTTGCTGTAGGTGCACAATTTAGTGCCTTGGGATTTGATTTTGATCCAAGTTGACAATTGATCCTCTTTGGATATTAATATTTAGTAATTTGAAGTTATTTTTACTTGAACCTATTGGTAACTTTCTTCTAAACATGTCTATATTATTTATTTATTTTATTTACTTTAATTTGAGATATTTATGTTTCTATAATACAAATAGAAGCCTCTTTTTTAAAAGACAACATTAAAACTAAACCTTTTATTATCTCCCTATCATTTATCCTTATTTTTCTATTATATCTTTTTAGTAGGTTCTTCTATAATAACACCCATGTTTTCATTTTTCACCATATAGTCATATTACTATACGACAACGTAATCACAAAATAAGGTGCATAGTTGCCAAAAAAGATAATGTTTAAAAAACATATTTTTCCAACTACAATAAGAATCATGTGGCTAGAATCTTGTATAATACTTAATAGAGGTCCTATTCTTTCTTCAAATCCTTCATCTTATTTTACAATAGAAGTTTTTATATGACCAAAAAATCACAAATTCTTTGCTTTGATAGATTCAAGAGCCTCAACTTGTTTTATACATGAAGACTTTCTTAAAGAATAAGAAATATCTTTAATAAAAATAAATAAATTTATACATATAAAAGTCATAGATGGTTGTTTGTTTTTCTTTTTAAAAATTATCCATAAAACAATTTCTTTAAATATAGCAATTAAAGATTATAATATATTCTTTAAGTACATCCAATTTGTTCAGTGATAAGTTATAGATTGGTTTAAATAGTCTTTGAATTCTTTCTTGAAGATCAATGGAACAATCATAGGAACAATATTCTAAAAGAATATTTGCATTTTTCTTCTTAAAAATGTCTTGATAATCTTGATACTAGCTTAGAATGCCAATTGAAATCTTTTTTCTATTAAAAATAAATATGGCGTATATAACAAAAGTTGACCTTTCTTTTGCAGCATACATGAAAGCTCTCATATGTACCAATAAGAGTTTGAATATATTGAACTTGTGGATTTTTACTTGACTAGCAAAATCTTAGCCTAACTATAGAAAAAATCAAGATTTAAGATTAAAAATATAGAATAAACTATTATTTTTTCTCTTTTTGTTTATACAAAGAAGAAGATATAAAATTCATTCTTTTTTTAGATGTTGTTTAGGTTGATTGTTATCTAGTATAAAAATATTAGTAGTTGAAATTTGATTGAATTCTATAGATACAAAGACAAGTGTAATTATTATTTGAACACCTTCGACACTTTAATTGGAATTCTTGGATATCAAATGTAAAAAACATGCACATGCATGCACATGTTTAGGTAAATTTCTATATTTTAGTATAGTTACTTTATTATATTTTAAATATTTATCATCACAAATATTTAATGTTTTAATGTAATATTAATTTTAAAATATTTATATTATTCTTTATATTAAATTATTATATGTATTTGAAAAATAATGTATCTATTTTATATAGATAAAATCTAAATCTCTTATATAATCTTTAATTCACTGAATTTCTTCCTTTCTTTATTTTATTTTTATTTTATAACGGACTACTAATTGAGAAAAACCAGTTTACATTCTAGTATTTTGGTTATCACCAGATCCTTGGTGAATGCTGAAAAGTTGCAAAAATTCTATTATAAATAATGTGGCTAAGGTTTATTTCTGTAAAATTGAGTCTTAATAACAACAACATATAACCAATAAATATTTTTAATGTTGTTGTTATTAAGACTCAGTTTTTAATTAACATGTTTTAAAGCAAAGCTAAATTAAATTAAAAATATTTTTTGTATCATTTTAAAATTCTGAAATTATAAGACTTTAACATAATATTTATATACGTGCAATCGAATTAATAATTACAATATTCTGTGGTTGATTTTTTATTCCATCATTCATATTATACCAAATTTGAAGAAAATTCATAATTCTGAACAAAGTTAACATCATCTTGTAATTTTTAAAAATAACCAATGTAATGTCTAAAAACGTATAAATATGTAAATAACATTCTAAAAATAATTTTACACAAAATTTAATTTTCATTTAGAAAAATACGGATTTCTACAAGATTATATTGTTTCCTTTATCTTTTGATTACTATGTTAGTCATTAGTAAATGTTTAGTTGCAGTGACATATTAAGTTATTTCCTGGTCTCACAGATCAATGCCCACAGATCATTCAGTCAGTAGTAAATGCACAGTTTATATATCTTCTTTCAAAACATTAAAAAAAATCAAAAAATCCAAAAAAATACTACAACTTGTATGCTTAATATTTTACTTTTTCTGTACATATTTGAAGTTGAGGTTCACTGTAAGTGTTTGAATTTTTTTGAATTTTAGATCTTTAAATAATAAAACTAGTTCACAATATTAATTCTTTGCTGGACATCGAGGGATGTTGACTTTTATCTGAGGATACTATTGTCAATTTTGTTTACAATTGATAACCATATAATCAAAGATCTAAAATCTGAAATTACAACTTCAAAATATCAATGTATGAATGATTAATCAAACATTACATTTTAAAAATAAAAATAAAACTCTATTGAAACGAATACTTACTTTTTCTGCATGTAACTCCAAGGCTTAAATCAGTTGTGATTTAATACAAAAATTGTTACAAAAAAATTAATAAAAAAATAAATAAATATAATTTGAATGAAAAGTTCAGGTTTACAAGATCAATATATTTTATTAATATTTTTATATGTATAGATGATTGTTGCATTGTTGAACGTTACCAGAAATTTAATTTTGAACTAAAAACAAGTTACAACACACTTTTTGAAGAATGAAAAAGTCACTCTTAAATGAAAAACATCCTCAAAGATATTATGTTTTACTTTGAATTGAAGCATATCAGTTCAAGAACTTGTTTCACTCAATATATATATATATATATATATAATGTTTTTATGCAATTGCTTTCCAGTTTATGTTAACTATAATCCTGGTAGATATACACATATATATATTGTATCATAACAAAATCATGAAAAGTAATAATTTTATCATGTTATAAAAAACTTGCAAACCCTAAATCCTAAACCTGGTCACATGCAGAGAGCAATTTCTCATTCAATTATTTTTTATTTTTTATTTTTAAATGTTTTCCAAAAAGAAACTTGTACATTTTGATGAAAATGTACAGAAGAATTTGAGCAGTTAGTGTTTGAAATACATACATCAAAGATAAAACTTAAATGTACGTTCTGTAATCTGTTAAAGATCACAACGAGAAAAATTTCTGAAACGAAGTAAATAGGTGAATTAAAGTCAATTTCTGATAAAATCATGTTAACAGTAAAATTGAAATACAGTAGGCATTCCTTTTGTCAGTATTTAAAAATTGAGCAAAGAAAGGAGGAATGAAAACTGACGAATACTCCTGAAGTTTGATGTGTTGCAAACCACCCATAGATATGCCTGGTGTGGAATTTTGAGAGAATAAGAGCGATGTCGATCAGAATAGGAGAAGATGAGAGAAGGGGAAGGGGGGGCATTGGATCCTGATGTTGTCAACGATTCCATAGGGCACAGGGCAAGGGCGTCTTCGTCGTCGTGGCGTGAGGGTCGCCGAGTGCTGGAGTTGCCGCATTGCACTGTCTAAAGGCGGATATGATGGTGGTGCTACTGCTGCTGTGCTGCGATGCGATGTGATGTGATGCGTGCCCAGCGTCGTGCCTGGTTGCCGTCATCTCCGCGACTTGTCTCGCCATGGTCGGCATGGATTCCAGGAAAAACTCCGGGAGCCCCATCCCGGGGCTGCCACGACGCCGCAGGGACAGAGCCTCACAGGATTCCTCTCCTGCATTCCAAGTTCAGTCTCTGTAAGAATCGTGCCTTCCGTTCCATGGTGTTTGCAATTGCTGGGTCCCCCCCCCCCTTGCTCATTTCGATCTCCTGCCCATTTCGCTCTCTCTCTCTCTCATGAATCGTTTCATGCCTCGGTGGTTCAGGAATCTCACAATCTCGGACCCTGTTTTCGACTCTGCAGGCATACTTTTGGGTTTTCGGTTATATTGGGGCGACTGGCTCAAATTGCCGTTCTCGACAGCCGCACTGTCGTTTATGCCATCGGTTCTGGACTTCATCGCTGGAGGTGAGATCTGTACTTGTCATAACTAAGGAGAGGGTGCGGAAGAGTCGCCTGCAACAGTAGGGTCGAATTGCGTGTGCCGTAACCTGACACAACTTGACAGACGTTTGGTGGGTGCAGTAATTCTAATGTAGGGGATTGTTGGATTGTGCTACAGTGTTCTACCACATTGTCCTTGCTCCTCTCCCCTACCATTATTCCATGAGAATGTGGTCATTCATTCATTCACTCACACATACACACACACTCTCTAGTCTGGCGGTGTTGATGGTGTGAATGGTGGTGGTGGTGGTGCTTCTTCTTCTTCTTCTTCTTGTGCAGGGATGGGTTTGCAGTGCCAGTGAGTACCCCTGAAGACAGTGTGGAGGTAAGGCCCAACAGATTCCAACCAGGGCTGTAATGCTCAGCATCTTCTCCATCTCCATCACAATCACAATCACCATTCTGCAAGGGGACCCACAGCACAGCCTGTGGTCAGGCTCTGCCTACATCCCAAGCTCACTCCATTTGCTACCTCCCTCTCTCTGGCCCTCTTCTTTCTATCACTTCCTGGCCTCTCACATGCCACACTGAGATTGTTTTCATTGACTGTTTCAACTTCATATTCTTTGCAGTGCTTCCCCATTTTCTCATCTCCTCAATACACCTTCACTTTCCAAAACAAATTCTATTTTACCCTAGGTTCCAACCGACATTTTTATATTAGTGAAAATCAATGGTCATAATTTGAATCAATCACTTCTTTGATATAACTGAGAAAGCAAGAAAGAAGAACATACACATCATGTTGGACACAGGATCTGTAATTCTTTTTACATGTAGTTTTATTGTACAAATCTGTAGTTTTAAGCAAATGGATTCCTGTCCCACAATTATTTACCAAACATTTAATTTCAGTTACATGTATTCAAATATCTCATTATAAAGCAATGTTTTGAATGAGAAAACCACATGTTGTCTTGGGTAAGTTTCTTTGACATATTTTTCAAGCTTCATCATCTATTTTTTATTTTTTATTTTCTTCTTTTTATTCATAATAATTTTGAACAAACAGACAGATATTAAATAATCAATGAAATTTCTAGTCAAAAACAATTAAGCTCAATGCAAAGAAGTTGGCATAATGTTTGCTGATTTAATACTTGTGGAATGCCTGTAATTGTAATTGACATTTCATGAAAAGTCTGTAGGCAAGTGAGGAATTTTGAGACTGAAGCAGACAAAATGTTTTTAAGTAATAAGTTTCTGATGCATACATGTTGAAACTTAATTCATTGCAAGCCAAAATCCTACTTACTCCAGAACTGACTCTCAACAATCATAGGAACATTAACATTTGTACTAATGTGTGATTGTCACATGAGATTTTAAACACCATAGCCAGAAATCAGATTAGGTGACACACAGTTTCATTTCAGAAAGTAGGTACAAGAATGAGAAATCTATTTTAAAATTGGATTATTAGAGATTCAGGTTACAAAAAATTCTCCAACAGATGCAAAGTTCAATGTTAAGCTGAACAATGCAGAAGTGTTATCATGGGACAAATTTTCTGAGTTTATTAATGTGTGATTACTGTGGATGGTGAATTGTAGAGCATTGTGGCAGTTGTTGCATCCAGTATGGGTTGTATAGTGGGTGCATGTGAGCTATTGAAATCCAAGTCCTCTCAGGTATCCATTTGAAGCTACTATCTTTCTTACTTATAATTATGATCATTGTGTTGTCATTGTATGCAGAAAAAACTCCTCAGTGTACATGGTGTTTCAAATAGGCTACGACATCCTTGCAATATCTATCTATCTATCTCTCCCTATATATATATATATATATATATCTGGAGATGTTAGAAGAAATGAAAATGAATTTTGTGTGTTGGTTTTGAGGTCAGTCTAACAAGGATGGGTCAAAGTTTTGACACTAAAGTCATAGTAGATAAAGAGCTAATCTTCAAACAATTCCTTGATATGTAGAATTAATTTGTTCTTATGTAACATTGTCTTTGGATGCAAAGATGAAGGACTAAATGTTGACCCAAATATCCCTTGAGTTGTATTTTGGATGCTTAGGTGTCAGTTTTTGATATGCGGACTCAAAGGAAAGTGGGCACTTCTTTCATCATGCAATGTAATGCAGGTGGGCAAACTATTTCACTTTTTTTCAAAGATGGAATAATTCAGACTGTGCCTCATTTTTAGTGATGATTCAAGATCTACAGCATAACCATTGTTTATCTAAGACACACCCTCAAAGTATCAATACCCAAAGAAAACCTCTTTTATCTTTTGTAATTTCAACTAAACTCTAAAAGTTGATTTCATTTTTATTTATAATTTAGTAAATTCGGATTTGACTGCTCACAATAATTTAAATTCTCACACACAACAGATCAATTTAAATTTCAGCAATCTCATATAAGTATCATATACTTCAGCTTCATTTATAAAAAGAAATTTTTGACTCATTTTTTTTTCGTTTCTTTTGAAATAAGAGTATATATATATATATATCAAGATTTCATGTGATAATTGTACATATTATATATCAAAACCAGTTCAGATCAGAAAATCTCATTAAAATGTTAAACGAGAAGGGCTAGTGGTTTTTTAAACCATGAAAAGTTCAGTTATCAGGTTTTTGTTAAATCAAAAGGCAGTGTAAGATATTGATATTTTTTCTAAGAAATCACAAAAAAATCAAATTTTTTTTATTACAAAGTCTTTGTAAATCCACTCCTATTTAAAATCATGTTATAGAAATTATGAATAGAATCAATCAACTATTTTGGCCCCTTAATTTAAATGCAGATTCTTGATAATTTTGATTATGTCTTTAGTTTCCTTAACTCTACTTTCAACACATGACTAAATTCTTTTTATTTTATGACGAAAATCTCCTTCTAGTTTTTAACAATAATAAACAACCTTGAAATACAAACAGAACATCAAAGTTGCACATTGTAACAGATTATGTTTATGGAACAATGTAATAATTTTCAAATTTCAATTCCTTTAAACATACTCTTCTTTTTTTTTTTTTTCTTTTTTTTTGCTTTTTTGCTTCTTTTTTTTTTCAAAAAGTTCTGTGTAGCTCTTTTTTCTATTTTCAAGATATTTTAATGCATTATTCTTGATTTTTCAATCTATAATCCATTTTTTAACAAAATTTTGCAGAAATTTTTCTTGGTATGAACTCCAGATGTATTTTAATTAGATTTATTAAGTTTCGTGGGTTATTTACACATCAATGAAATACTTAGCTATAAGAATCCCTCTTATATGTAGTGTGGTTGTTATTGTTGTTGTTGTTGTTGTTATTATTACTATTATTGTTATGTAATTTATGCATCATTCTTTTGTGTATTGTTGTTATTGTGTTGTAGAGATTGAGATTTGTGCATTTTCAAAGGATGAGACAATAGTGGTGGCTGCTGCTAAGTTAGAAGGTGGAGGCTCTTGGCTTTGTTGTTGGGAGTTGAAACATTCACAGGCAAGCCCTCACATCCCTGTGTCATATCTTGATCCTTTGAGCCAAGCTTGGAATACTGAAAACACTATAACCTATGCGGTGAGTGAGGAATCACACACCACTCTTCCCTTCCCACCCTGTAAGTTTTATACTCACAGATGGCACAAACTGTATGGAAAAGAGTTGATCTGGGGATGTAGTATGGAAATTACAAAAGTCCTTGGAGGCCTGCCTGGATGTGGTGAGTGGATGGCCAACTTTGGGGCAATGATGCCTAGAGTCAGATGTTCAAAGCCAGTGTGTATGTGTGTGTGTATATACATATATATATATATATATGTTAGAGTGTGTGGCTTCAACAGAGTGAAGAGCAATTAATGAGCATGTATTCAGGACTGATGGTTCAGTTCAGATGATGATGATAATGATGAGTGTCACCCTGGTTTTGGGTGTTGCCTTGCAGGAGAAATCTGCAGATCCATACATGGGGGTCGCTGGTGCCCACATTGCCAGGTATACTACCCTGAACCCTATTCCTGTGAAACTGAAATGGAAACCCTCTGAAATGTCTGAATAAGGATGGGGTGATGAAGAAACCCTAAAACCCTAAAACCCTAAACCCCCATTCTAAGGTTGCCAAGCCAGAGCCTGTCTTAGAATATTTTGAGTGCCTGAAGAAACAAATACAAGAAAAAGAAAAGTAAGAAGAAGAAGAAGGATTCATTACTTTGTTAGTGAGAGTGAGTGTGTGGAGTGTGTGTGTGCAAACATGCAGTGGATTTGGGCCCATTGCAACAATCAAGGTGCCACACAAAATGGATTACATCCACTACTTTGTTGAGGTACCACTGCTTTATCTCCCTTCACCCTAACCTTAGATCATGACATCCTCTCTGGATGAAGGATCTCACTCTACTGTTAGACCAGTTTTATTTTATTGTTCTATATCTTCTGTCTATACAGACATGGGAGCAAAAATCTCAACCTCAATCAAAGAATTGTAGGAATGTAATTTTGTTGCATGCAGAGTGTAGTGCTTTGAAGTCTACACAGTTTGCCAAAAGGTACAATGTTGTCAGATTTCATCCCTTTACTTTTTATCAATAAGTTTTTTCATTGCTTAGAAATTTTATATGATTATATTTAAGGGTATTTGGTTAGGGATTCCTCTTGTGCATTAATGCCAAAATACCTTAAATCAGCTCACATCCCTAAACCAACCCATAGACCTTGTCAGAAACCGCACTTGTACAAACCCAAAAACAACCATTTATTTTGTACAAAGATTCTAGGTCCATTCCAAGCCCACCAATGGTTGGCAAACTTTACAAGGATGAAGTTGGTGGTTTAGTGTGATGGAGGTGGTGGTTTAATGTGTTTTTATGGATGGTTTTGGCCAAGTCTATGTATTGGTTCAAGGGCTCAAAGAGTAAAGCACTTTAAAATTTTATATCCATTAAACCACTATGGCTTTTGTAGCACATCATAACCTTATTGCTTCACTGTTTTATTTTGTTTTTCCAAAACCTCCCTGAGATAGTTGAAAAACCATAAGTTGTTGGTTTAAGGTATTCTGATGTTAGTTGAACTACAAAAAAGCATAGTTGTTCAATTCGTGGACTGCAACATGCCGAAGCCGAAGTGCTAATTATCATCCATACAAATTTGGAGCATTGTCTTCTCTTTGGATGTTAATGACATGCCTTGACCACCAACATTGAAGCCAATACAATTTCATCCCACATCTTCAAATGAGATTTATGGCATTATTTTACAATCAACAATCAACAAATAATCCTCATCAAACATATGTTTTATATACAGATTATTCAATTTCTATTTTTTTAAATGTGGTTATTTTATGCAGACATTTAGTTACATGTATAAAGTATTATGTTCAAATTTCTATTCAGAATTTTTAATCTCTCTCTGTGTATATATATATATATATATATATATAATTTATTTGAATTATAAATATTTCTTATTTAAAATACATATAAGTACTGCTATTGTGATGGTAGAATTCTATTAACAAGATTTTGAATTTAAACTCTAAGATGTGCTTTTTAATTTTTTTTAAATTTAGATACAATTTTAGGATTAAGAATTTTGATATTAAGTTTTTGCTCTAGAACATAATGTGTAATTTAGTGGATTAAAGATTTTATTATTCTGAGGTATATCAAATTTAATTTTCCACTGATTTATAAAAAAATATATACCCTGGAATTGGGTTTCAGAGGATAAAAATACAAGATACATAGTCATCTCATGCATTTGGACATAGTCGTAGTAGATTTTAAAGATAAAAATACACATGCGTAATTCAGGGTTATTTATTTTAAATATAATTTGAAACTTAATATCAAATTGAGTTATAAGCTTGTGAATGATGAAAATCGAATATAATAATTATTTGAATGTAATGTTTGAATAAAATGTTCTTTAATTTTTTCTATATTTAAATATTTTATTTCGTGAAACAATTACACAATATTTGGTACTAAAGAAGAATAAATGAATAAATACTTTTCTAATGCAAATTTTAGTACACAGAAATGTATATCGCCTTACAACTACTGCATTTTAGAGGAGTAATTTTAAAATGGGTTATGATTTAACATTTCTAAAGATCAGGTCTACAACTTGATGGCTTCTAATTTCAGCTATCACATATTAGAAATTTTTAATTCAACTTAATTTAAATTTGTAATTGCATATTATAATATAAAATTGTTTCTACAAAATATTTTATGGTATATCCTTTTTCTTTTCTTTTCTTTTCTTATTTTGAAAATAATAATATAAACTTAATCATTTTTTAAATAAAAATATGACGTAAGGATCTACCTGCTTCATTTTTACTTGTGTAATAACTTACTATATATATATATGCACTTTTACAAGAAACTCGTGCTAAAATTATTTGAAATATTTTTAATATAGACATTCAATACTTGATTATTTTATTTTTTTAACATTTGTAAACACATAAATATGCTTGAACTTTAAAGTATTACATAAACCTTCATGTGTAAGAAATATAATAATTATATTGATACATTATGTAACATCTTATTAATATTTTTCTTAGCTGATCACATATGTTGACATACAGAATTTTATTCTTAAGTGTGTAACTCTAAATTATGAAGCACAAGATTGAGAATGAGTCTTGATGCAATTGCAGAACTTGTGCATGTGTAACTACAAAAATTTGAGGTCACTATCAATGATTTGGAAATATTCCAATACATATATATATATATATATATATATATAATTTGATGATAATTTTAAAAATTACTGTTATCAATTCTTATATTTTTTCGTGAACTTTGATAATGTTCTTTCAGATTTTGATATATAAATTAAATTAATAATTTCTTTTTGAAATTTTGAAAATTTAAAACAAAATTCTTGTGATTCTTAAGAACTCTAATAAAAAAATCACATTCTAAAAACCCCAGAAAACTATAAAATCTCTATTTTTCTATTCTAATGCATTCATATAAAAAGTGATATCTATAAAAACAGAATAGAATTTATTGATTTTTTTTTGTAACCATGTTTTTTTTTATATAAAATACAAAAACCACTATAATGAAATTGTGGCAAAATTGTTTTAGTCTTGAGAGTGTTCCTCATTTACATTTACATTGGAAAAACAAATTTGGCTTGTGGCATATTAATAGTTTAATTTTTTGGAATTTAATAAAATTGAGAAAAAATAAAATAAAAATGGCATCATATATCATTGACTGGTTTCAATAAAAAATTATTTAAATAATTAAAAACGTTTAAAATGAAATTGAACTTCAAAAAAAAAAAAAACTCATTTACTACATGTAAAATTATGTGTGAAACAACCTAAGTGTGGATACTCCTGATCTATCATATTTGAAGAATAACATTTTAATGCATGTAATTTTCCTTTTCCTTGTAAATAATAATAATATTTTTTTTTTCTTTTTATTATTATTGGATACTTCATTGAGTAACTTGCTTCAAATATTTCATGGTTTGCTGCTTGAATACCAATTTTTCATATCTAATTGAATATCTATGCAATTCATATATATGCAATTATTCAGTTTCATAAGTACAGTTGCTGTGATATTTGGTAGTCTAAGGACCTGCTTTAGAACAAGGGTTCAAAAGGTTCTTTGTGACATTCTGGTTCTTGCCAAGAGAAACAGACACCAGTGGTATTCATTTCCTATGCAGGGAACCAATTTGGTTTGCATCACTTGGGACACGGGAGATGACCCAATTGTTGCTGCCTCCTTGTCCAAAGATGCATCTCTTGCAGGTATATTATTGGACTACCAAGAAAGGAATTCTAAACTTTCCCAGCATACAAACAGCCTCTCTGACATCATTCTTATTTGTGTCTGTGTCATGGATCCACAGCATATGAAAATTTGAAGAAATAGTAACAAAAACCATCAACAGCAACAGTTGCCATTGCACAATGTTCTAGGCTTGTGATCATTCCACTACGACTCATATTGTTCATTAGAATTGTATTGTGCTTATTGATATGAGCATTTTAACTTCAGTACGATCAGTTTGAAGAGCACATCAGTAAATGATGAAATGAAAGTTAAATCTATTGATTTTCATTTGAAGAGTGCTGGTGTTGTTTGATTGACATAGGGTTTATAGATTCCAGTATTATTTTCATGAGATCTGGAATGGTTTATTTATCAATATTTATTATTAAGATATGTCTGTAGTAATGGATTTTGCAAGCACAGACTGAAATAGGGATGGGGAATGAATGGGGTGGGATAACCAGTGTTCATATTAGGTTCTGTGACAGACATGGATTTTTGTCATCAACGTCAGGTCATTGCTAGTTGTGGCAAGGACAACATGGTCCGGCTATGGAGCTGTGTCACACCATCATGCAGAGTGGCCATGAGGTGGGTTTTACTGAATACTTGTAACTATAAAGTATCCCACGCCCTTTAAACAATTGTCAAAGCTTAGCTTGTGGTGCACTGAATCTTTCCTTCCAATATCTTCGTGTAAAGTATGCTTAATAACATATACACAGTGTGCGACAAAGAACAACCTCACTCTTCACTGCAGTGGGTACCATCTCATAATTATAATATGTGGTTCATGTAAACTTATGAGGTCAGACACTAGAAAGAAAGTTGGGTCTCAAAGAGTTTTCCTATGTAGCCTGGGCACAAAGTTCTCGCTAGTTTCCTTACATTCCAGCATTTAAACCTTACACAATATGACTGGTTGTTGCTCTCAAAACATAAATACAAGGGGTTTTAATATTCAGGGGAGATGGTAAAAACATTACAACTTTTACATCTTGTTATTGGCTGAAATTTAGAAGTTTCTTTTGGTTGGCTTTATACTTTAAGAAATTTACAAGTTAAAATTATAAAAAATGAAAAATAATCAAGTTAAGAAGGAGAAATGCAATATGTTTTTATGTATTTCAAAACTATAATATTCTAAATGATGACACTCAAAATAATTATGCAAGCAGGTATGAGGAGGAGCCCATTGCAGTGGCCATCTTCCAGTACCTTCTGATAGTGGCATTCCAACACAGAATCATGTGTTATTGCTTGCTGGCTCATACGTATGGTCATCTCTTCTTCCTTCAAATCTGTTTTCTTCCTTTACTCAATATTCATTCTATGGTGGTCTTCTCCACTTATTTTTTCACAGTTTATTTTTTAAATTGTGTAATTTTTTCACACCAAGATAAAGTGATTCCACCAATAACATTTGCATCAGATAAAAATGTATAAAACTATTATTATGAATGTATGAATTCATTCTTGCCATCCACTGGGATAATATTTAGATGTATTTTATTATTACTAATTATATATACAATATACTGTATTTAATTTTTATTCTGAAATTATTTTAAAGTAATTAATTTTTATTATTCTATTACTAAAAACCAAGGCATTCTGTAGTTTAAAAATAATTGATCAAAATCTTGTGTTAGGAAATGCAATTACTATAATGTCATATTTTCAGCTCTAAGCACTTAAAATGTTAACTTGTAAATTTTTCAAAATATTGTATCATTCTGCAAACTTTTGATATATTTCATGTGCCTTTTAAGAACAAAGCTTTTATTATAAATAAAAGTGCATTCTACCTCATATTTTCTACTTAAGGCTTCTTGACTTATTTTCTAATTATATATCCAACTCAAAAAATCTTCTTGATTTTAACCAATCAAAACATTTAAAAATGTGTGGCTTCTCATCTTGTCACCTGAGTACAAAGCAGTATTAAGTAAAAAGTTTCGTGATAATGAAACTAGCAATTTTATTGAATACAGATTATGAATGATGTATGCTTTCATGTGATTGATATAGACTTTATTTGGGAAAAAAATGAAAATTAATCATTATAAAAATCAGAAGTGTAATATGTTAACTATATATATTTTTTTATTTTTAAATATGCAGACCTAACAATGAGTTCTTTTAAATTCTCAGAAATAGACATATACAAGAGTAATTATTTTCCTGGTTATTTAAGTTCAAATTTTTGTTTTTAAATATTTGGCATAATGAGAAGAAATTTTGAACTGCTTCAAAAATAAATATTCATACTATTTATGTCCAATTTTACTTTTACTGTTTTTCTTTTCTTTTCTAAGCTTTCAGTGTTGCTACATATCTCTCAAGTAAAATCTTAAGACTGCTTTAGTTCCAGAATAAACACCAGCTGTAGTATTGAATTAAGAGGTAGATACTTTGATGGATTTGCAAGGGTAATTAATTTTACCTTACAACACTACTAGCATTCTATGCTGTTAACATCGAAATAAATAAATAACACGTGGATAATTTAGTTCATGAGGCTATGGTTCAACACGTGAACAAGTTTTTTTTTTTTTTTTTTTTTTTTTTTTTAATTTTTAGTAGTGTTAATGAGTGATACAAGTTTTGGCTTGGGTCGATGTGGTATAATTGAACTGATACCAACTTACATGGATTAATATCCATGTGTTATATATATATATATATATATATATATACTGCATGTATATCAAAAATAGAAATTTAATTGTGTTTATTATTTAAAAAATACATGTTTATTTTCTTATCATAAATGTATATATTAAATCAAGGCCAACAAGTTGTTTTTATCACTCCTTTCATTGAAAAGATATCAAATGTACATGTTGGCTTATTCCAAAAGAAAGAGTAATATTTAATCAATGATTGATTGTCCCATAAAATGATACTTTTGAAAACACCAGTGGGTTCATTTTAAAATTTTTAGGTAGTTGAAGAAGAGATTAAATTATTTTTTACATATTGAATATTTTATTCAATATCTTCTTCTGCTTCTTCTTCTTGTGTTGTTCACATGTACATAATACCCCCCTTTTAACCTCACAATTTTTTGAATAAACTTGGATTTAAGTGAATGGTTGTAAAGGTGTGCAACCATGACAAGTAATGAATCTTAATTTAGCAGTAGCAAAGGATCCATGATTTGAGATTTTTTAAAACGCTGGAATGATTCCCATTCAGGCAGGCAAACTGTGTTGAAGCAGATTCCCATTCCCAACGTAAGGCATCTCAGGATCAGCCCCAGCGGACACCTCGCCAGCGTGACAGCTGGCACCACCATCCTCATTCTCTGCTGTGCCTCTTGGAAGCTTCTCGCCTCACTTAAGGTCCCTCCCTTCTCTTATCTCGCACCATGATTAAAAATACATATGTAATAATAATATTTTTTCTTTTTCTTTTTCTTGTATATTTATATTGTAAAAATGAATGAAGACTCCATGTTATTTCTGTCCATGTAAATTTCAATAGTTATATTAAGAACTAAAAATAAATATCCAGCACAAAGTAATGAGAAACTTATTTTCAACAGAAATAAGTTAGAATAAGAGTATAGAAATCCAATGAGTGAGTGTGAATGAGTTGTATGTTAATAAGTGGAGTACCTACTTCTGTCATGGAGTTATGCAAAGTATAAACCCTAAACTTGATATTTCACACAATACATGTCTCAATTGATTTCGAAAGTATTACCTTGTGATAGATAATCACCCTGCTTCCATGAAGGTAGAAATATGCTATTCCCTCCATTCAGGTTGACAATGAAATGCAATGAGAAGGGTATGTTGGTAGTAACATAAAAATAAGAGGTGCAACCATTGTGTGTTTTGGTGAATTAGAAAGTGCACACACATCTTCTTCTCCTTGTTATACTTCTGCTTTTCTTCTGGTTTTTTTTGGCATAAACAAGAAGGATGTGGTTCATTGATGGTGAGAGAGAAACATAAGATTTCACTGTCAGAACACCTTGTATTAGTGCAGGGTGGGGTGTGCACCAAACTTTGCAATGGTAGCAATGGTACATAGCAGGAATTGGCATGGGCTCAGAAGGGCCACAATTCTGAAACAGGAGAGAGGTAGGGCAGGAAGGAAGGACAGGGAGGGGTAAACAGAAAGGACAGAAGAGATAGTGAATTCTCATTACATAGCCTCTGCTGCTTGTGCTGCTGCAGGGCCACAGGGCACCCATCACCACAGTGGCATGGGCAAGGAATTCCATCCACCTGGCCTCAGCAGACAAGGCTGGCTGCATCCACACCTGGTTCATGGATGGGTTTGTTGGCTTTGGAGAGAGCCATGCACCCCCAGGCTCTCACTACACTTCCCTGCTGTATGACCCCACCCACCTGAGCATGTATGCATGTGGCCCAGACACTCCTCTGCACCTGCTGGATACTGAGAAGAAGCCCACATCCCACCCAGGTGCTGCCAGAGATGTTTGCTAATGACACTGTGGACCCTGGATCCCCCAACAAGGTCTATGCCCCTCTCTCCATCCCTCAGCACATGGGGACTAGCTTCTGCTCTTCTCTCTTCAGGTACCTGCTTCTCTTTCATTGTATGCATCTTGTTGTATGGTACATGCAGACTGTATTCTACTGCATATATATATATATATATATATATACTTTACCCAACTTGAATACCCACACTTCCAATAATTCATTAAGTACCTCAAGAACCTTCTGGAGCTTAGGGAAGAAAAATACCAATCTTCAGAGAAAAACCCCACGGATTGTATTGCATTTGTTTTTGTTCAGTTTGCTGTGTGCTTTTTAGTTACAGAATATGTTTGTTTCTAATGCAGCAGATCAAATCTGTAGGTGTCAAAATAAAAAAATAAAGTATGTGGATACATTAGCAGGCCTAGCATTACATATGAAATGAAGCCAAGGGGGGCAACCCATGTGGCAGCTATATTTAGAAGGGGGTTGCTGATTGCAGTCACAAACACTGGGCACCTCTTGCTCTACTCATTGCCATTAGGCAGGGACCAAACTATGCCTCTCTCTGAATGGACCATAAATGCTGGTTGGTTGCACTCCCCCCCCCCCCCACACACAACTCCTGTTCTACTTTGCTCATCACAAGTGCAGAGTCAGAACCCTAAAACTTGCTGTCCAGTTGCAAAAGGAAGGAGGAAACCCTAACCCTCAGCATGCAGGTTTACAGCATTAGCTTCCTAGAGCTCTTCATGTGCCTGTTAGAGTTGCCCCTTCTGTCCTTGGGTGGATGGAGGTCATTAGAACCAGGGTTTAGGGCTCCTAAATCCAAACACAACACCCTACACCTAATCAAGTACCACAATTGCATCCTTCTCCTACTGCTGCTGTTTGTTGGGTCAACAATCAAAGCCATTGCACTAAGAGACAGTTTTCTTGTAACTTCTGCAGTAGACCCTGGTGTTCTAAAAATGCATGAAGTGTATGATATGTGTGTTTATGTTTCTCTCTGTGTGTGTGTATGAATGTATATATATATATATATATATATATATATTTCATATGCATATATACATGGCAACACTAACACTTCTGTTCTAGGGGCACCTGAGTTGTAAACACAAATGGGATTGTATCACCTGCTGTTGTTATTTTTTTGCTTTTCATTTGGATTAATAATCAAATTGAGTGTTCTGGTTGGGCATGTAACCAGGGGTCATCAGTAAGTTGCTTGTGGATGAGATGAATGGCAGAGTCATGATGGCATCATTGAATGGGTCCATCAGCATTTTTGGCATTGAGGCCCTCAACCTGTTGTCAAACCCACCAACACAGCAACTGTGGGTTGGTGGTAGTGGTGCTCCTTCCTTTGTATCAGTTGCCCAATGCTCCTGGCCTGAGATGGGTGGCTCCAAGTATTTGGACATTGATTTCATTTTGCGCTCTGAAGAGAGGGATGCCACACTGGAAGCTCAGGTGCAAATCTCTCACTCTGCATGTTCAATCTATACTCAGAACAGTTATTGCAATACTTGTACCATATTGATAGTATTGTATTCTGTTTAAAGAAATAATATAATTATTCACACTAATATGCTTGTTTGTCCTAGTAGCACAAGAAGATCACTTCCTGAAATCACATTTGAAGCTTTGTAAGTATAAACTTAGACTGTTGTTAACCCTTCATCTCTAATTGATATTGTTACACCCCGCATGAACTCCCACTAGACAACTAGCTATTAATATGCCTCTTTCTTTTGCACATTTTTTCCTTTCTTTGGTATAAGAGAGGGAGATAGTGGATATTTCACAAAAAAATAAATTGCAAGTTATTTTTTTATAGAAATAGAATATTTGTTTTTAAAAGAATTAATTCAAAAATTTGTTTTTTTTTGTTATTATTATTATTATTATTATTATTATTATTTGGCTCCCAAAAATACCAAGAACTTATTTTTCAATTTATTCTATTCTGGGTCAATATTGGAGTGAAATATTAGACTGCCAAATGCACCCTAAGCATAGAAGTAAATTTTTTTAGTCAATTTAAATCATGTGGAGGTGACATGGGATGCCACAATATCAATTGGAAATGTAACATTAACAGTTTTTTAAATTTAACAAGCTAATGTACATATGCATACATGTATACACATACATATACACTTTATTGATACATTACATAATATTTTAAAATCATCCAAAATACTTCAACTTCAATTGTAATTCTGATATTCAATTAACAAATAGAATTAGATATTACAATATATTTTTTATTTTTATTTTTTAAATATTTAAAATAAAATAAGATGTTCAACCATGAATATCATGAAAGATGTCTGTATTTATATTTGAATTTTATTTTTATTATAGAATGGCAATATCGCAATGTTTTTGGTGATTTTGAAATTCTTGGGCAGCATAGTACAGTGAGCTATTTATCCAGTAAATTGGATTTGAGGAATTGATTGTAAGATATGCTTTAAATGTTTATCCAAATACTGTTCTTGGTGTGCCATTCTCTTTTCTTTTTTTTTTTTTTTTTTTTTTCTTTTTTTTTTTCTTTGTGGGAAGGTGTTATTGTTGCTAACCAAATTTCATATTTCATGGTTGTTCATTGCAGTGAAGGTAAAGTTAGAGATTATATCAGGTAAAAGGTGTGGAGATTATATTCTAATTAGCATGAAGAAGTGCATAAAAAACTTAAAGTATAATGAATGGCATTAACAAACTATTCTTATCACCCTACCAAACATACAAACAAACAAACAAACAAAATCCTTTAAACCATGACCATTGACATGTAAAGCCTACTTTTGCAATACCTTCACCTATGCATTTCACAATCTATAACATAGCTACACATGCCACATGAATATCTGATGTCTGATTAGGATGTTGGAAGTTGGGTTGATTTTGGGGTCATTATATCCAGAGGTCTATTTTGAAAAGTCATGGTGGATTTTTTTTCCAAAGGTTTTTTACATGGTAAAAAAAAGTCTTTGTTAGAAGTCAAGGTTTTTGAATACAATATAAATATAAAATAAAAATAGATCATGAAAAGGATCAATTCATTCTTCTATTGTAAATCCCAATATATTACTTTATATCTTGATTCTCTCTCTCTCTCTCTCTCTCTCCAGATAGATAGATAGATATATATATATATATATATATATATATATAGATACACATTATCTATAAAAAAAGATTAAATTTAAAATCCAAAACTTGTACGTATGAGTATTATTTTAAATATTTATTTAAGAGTGTTAGGAACATAGTCTTTAGAACCTTCTAGAGACAAGTTTTTAGAACCTTCTAGAGACAAGTTTCTAGAACCTTCTAGAGACAAGCTTCTAGAACCTTCTAGAGACAAGCTTCTAGAACCTTCTAGAAGCAAGTCTTTGGAACCTTCTAGAAGCTTCTTAGTTGGTAGAAGATGTTAGGAACATAGTCCTTAGAACCTTCTAGAGATAAGTTTCTAGAGCCTTCTAGAAGTAAGTCTCCGAAACCTTCTAGAAGCTTCTTAGTTGGTAGAAGTTGCTTGAGAAGCTTCCTAAATAGGAGTATATATTGGAATCGAGGCTGAAGAGTTCTTCAATCTCGACAACACATCTCTTAGAGCTCTAGCTCACCTCTCTGGTGTTGTTCTTGTATTCATCTGATTAATATAGTTCTTTCCAGTTCTTCTTGAACTTCTTTTTAGATCTCAAGTCTATATTTCTGTGTCCGTGACAGTTTGTCGAGACTTCGCTCACCTCAGATATCAGAGCTAGTTCTTTCTTAGTAGAGTGTGGATTACTCCTCTACATGAAGGTATACTAGCATTTTTTAGAGGTTGCGGATTACCCTCCTCTAAACTGATACTTCTTCTGTTACAATATTGGAGTCTTATTCTTCTTGGAGAGAGTGGATTAGCCCTCTTCTTGAAATTCTTAAGGCGTTTTATAAGTTGTGGATTATCCTCCTATAAACCAATATTGCCTCTTATAGGGTCATTTTTGTCCTTCTTTTAGAATGGCCGGAGGTCAAGACATTAGTATGACAGAAAGTTTGGAGTCTAAGTTAGATGCTATCATGAATGCCCTCGCTACGTTATCGCAAAAAACTGCAGAGATTGAAGGAGTCGTGGCAAAGCTTCATAATGATGGAGCATCTGGGATGGCACAATCTAGGTTGCACCAGCCTCAAACTTTTGCACTTGGAGAAGCAACTTTGCCTGAGGTTCGACAAGCACCACTGGTTCTACAACATAAGGAGCCCCGAGTTAGCTTTTCGGACAAGTTCGATGGTATGCATTCCAAGTTTCGAGGATTCGTCAACCAAATCAGGTTAATAACAGTTTTACAACCCGAACGCTATCCAATGGAGGAGTCATGTGTTGGGCTTGTTGGAACCGTACTTACAAGACAAGCTCTATTATGGTTTGCTCCTTTGTTTGAGAAACGATCGTCCATACTAAACAACTTTGAAACCTTTTTGGAGGCGTTTGCGGAAGCATTTGGTGAACACGACAAGGTTCGATGGGCTACAACAAAGATCCGGTCACTTGTTAGGGACATATTCCTTAGAACTTTCTAGAGAGAAGTTGCTAGAACCTTCTAGAAAACAAGCCTCTGGAACCTTCTAGAAGAGAAGCCTCTGGAACCTTTTAGAGAGAAGTTTCTAGAAGCTTCTAGAAGGGAAGTCTCTAGAACCTTCTAGAAGAGAAGTTTCTAGAAGCTTTTAGAAAGGAATCCCCTTGAACTTTCTAGAAGCTTCCTAGTTAATAGAAGTAGCTCGAGAAGCTTCCTAAGTAGGAGTATATATAGGGATCGAGGCTGAAGAGTTCTTCAGTCTCGATAACACATCTCTTGGAGTTCTAGCTCACCTTTCTGGTGTTGTTCTTGTACTCATCTGTTTAATCTAGTTTTGCCACTTCTTCTTGAACTTCTTGTTAGATTTCAAGTCTGTATTTTGTGTCCGTGACAGTTTGTTGAGACTACACTAACTTGAGATATCAGAGCTAGTTCTTTCTTAGTAGAGTGTGGATTACCCCTCTACATGAAGGTATACTAGCATTTTTTAGAGGTTGCGGATTACCCTCCTCTAAACTGATACTTCTTCTGTTACAATATTGGAGTCTTATTCTTCTTGGAGAGAGTGGATTACCCCTCTTCTTGAAATTCTTAAGGCATTTTATAGGTTGTGGATTACCCTCCTATAAACCAATATTGCCTCTTATAGGGTCATTTTTGTCCTTCTTTTAGAATGGCCGGAGGTCAAGACATTAGTATGACAGAAAGTTTGGAGTCTAAGTTAGATGCTATTATGAATGCCCTCGCTACGTTATCACAAAGAACTGTAGAGATTGAAGGAGTGGTGGCAAGGCTTCATAATGATGGAGTATCTAGGATACCACAATCTAAACTACACCACCCTCAAATTTCGGCACTTGGAGAAACAACTTTACCTGAGGTTCGACAAGAACCACTAGTTCTACAACATAAGGAGCCTCGAGTTAGCCTTCCAGATAAGTTTGATGGAACACGTTGTCGTATTACGTGCTTTCCTGCTCGAGAACGCGCCGGGCGTCTGGCTGTAGAAGGTAGTATGGAGATTCGCCGATAGTCAAGCAGTCTATCAGTTTTTGACTGCTGGAATATAAACGACTGCAACAATGTATTGTAAATCTATACGGATGCTCTTCGACTGCTTGTCGAAGTCTTTTTTTTTTTTTTTTTCCCAGCCAATAGGTCTCTAGACGTTACAGAGAACCCCGAACAACCCAAACTGTTAATCTTCAATACCCCTTTGTACTTACGATCTTGTATCCACTGACTGTCCTGTTAGATTAACCCAATAAATTTCATTCACTCCGCATACTCAATCCTATAGACACCCCTTTAATCCTTCAATCACAGACATAACTCGATTTTGCAAAACAGTCAAGAGTATTCAAACCCACTTTATTCAAAAATCCCGATTCACCATTACAACACTGGCTTCAGCAGCGATTGCCTCAGTCTTCCCAAAACTCTACGAAGAAGAAAAATCCAAATTCTATGTCTTTCCTTCCCCGACCCGAAGCATGAAGCTCCTCTCTCTAATTCCCTTGATCTTCCAAAAACCTCCAATGAATCCGAATTGGTAACCTTGCAAAAGCTTTGAAAACTAGCCCCCCCCCCCCCCCCCCCCCGATTCCCCGAAAAAAAAACCTCCCTCCTCAAAACTATATCCCCCCTAACCTTATCCTCTAAATTTCTTCAATCTTCCGTCTTAGATCCGGAATTGGCTCCCACCTCAAGCTTGGATCCGAAATTGGCTCTTGCCGTCAAGCTTTCTCCTCCGTTTTTACCTTTAAGAAATCCATTTTCCGAAAACAACGTTCCCTGAAACGGCACAGAGAACAGGACAGCCTGAAACAGAATCGAATCCCGTAATCGGGACCACATTGAGTCGCCCGACTAATTCAGGTCCTATATTGGGAAAGATGCCCGTAGTAACCTGGATGTTCCCGTAATTGGGTCAAATTGGTCCTCGCGTCACATTGGCTAAGACCCGTAGTAAGACCTGGATTTCCCGTAATTAGACTGCATTGGGTTGACCGGCCAATTCAGGTCTCATATTGGATAAGAAGACCCGGATTGGATTATCGAAATTAGATCCAATTGGCTCCTCGAACCCGTCATGTGAATTGGTCCTTCTCTTCTTGCTGACTCCCGTTATTGGAATCGAATGGAGCATTTCAGTATGCCTCAGCTGACTGTAACGGAGTGACTGAACCTGACCACTCAGTATTTGTACTGGAATTGGTTGATGCTCCCAATATTCGAGGTAACTGAATATTAATAAAATTCCCCTTTCTTTTTATTTTCACTGT